GGTTTAGGGTTTGGGGTTTAGGGTTTAGGGTTTAGGGTTTGGGGTTTGGGGTTTAGGGTTTAGGGCTTAGGGTGTAGGGTTTTAGTGCTTAGAGCTTAGGGTTTCAGGGTTAGGTTAGGGCTTAGTGCTTGGTTTAGGGAGCCTTAAACCGTAAACCCTAACCCTAAACCCTAAACCCTAAACCCTAAACCCTAAACCCTAAACCCTAAACCCTAAACCCTAAACCCTAAACCCTAAACCCTAAACCCTAAACCCTAAACCCACGCCCCTAACCCTAAATCCTAAACCCTAAACTTCCGGAGCGTAGGGAGTTTAGGGCTACGGGAAGGACGGCCTGTCGGCCTCGAGAAGTTGGGGCTCATAGTCCGCCTACACAAGGGTTTAGGGTTTAGGGTTTATAGGGTTTCGGGTTTAGGGTTTCGGGTTTAGGGTTTAGGGTTTAGGGTTTAGGGTTCAGGGTTCAGGGTTCAGGGTTCAGGGTTTAGGGTTTGGGGCTTTGATTGGAGGCTCCAAGAGGTTGGGGCCCACTAAAGCCTAGGTGTGGGGCTCGACATTCATCGGACTCGCGGTGGAGGTGAACGTCTTCAGCAAGATGGCCAGGGTTTCGGGCGAACGGTTCAGGAGCTAGGGTTCCGGGTTCAGGATTTGCTAGGGCCTCTACTTCGTCGACTCAAGTTTTCAACGCACACTGCAGACCCTAATCTGCCCTAAACAAGCTGCGCACGCGCGTGCTCAAGGTCGCTGGGTCAACTTGGGTTTTCGGGTTTCGGGTCGAGGGCTCAGGGTTGAGGATCTAGCACTGAGGGTTCATGGGTAGCATCCCATGATCGCGAGTATATGCATACATACATATCTGCATACATATATATATATGTATATGTATATACATATGTATATATATACATATATGTATACGCACACACCCACTTTTATAGAAATGGATGATTTGGTTTTTGTATGTAAAACATCTTAAAAAGCCTGATTTCATCTACCCATAAACCATCCTAGGCAACTGTGGGGGAGGGGGGATTGAGGCTTCGGGGGCACTCTCAGCTCACAGCTTGGTGCCATCTTGGCCGAACTTCGTGATGTCAATTCTGCGCGACATGGGTTGCGTTTACGGTTTAGGGTTTAGGGTTTAGGGTTTAGGGTTTAGGGTTTAGGGTATAGGGTTTAGGGTTTAGGGTTTAGGGTTTAGGGTTTAGGGTTTAGGGTTTAGGGTTTAGGGTTTAGGGTTTAGGGTTTAGGGTTTAGGGTTTAGGGTTTAGGGTTTAGGGTTTAGGGTTTAGGGTTTAGGGTTTAGGGTTTAGGGTTTAGGGTTTAGGGTTTAGGGTTTAGGGGGAGGCGGCACTTTACACTGGACCCTAAGCAACTAAACCCCACACCTCAAACCCTGAAGCCTTTGTGAACCCTTGCATTGTCCGGGGACGTTTTGAGTGATCATACATGTACCCTAACTACGGCTAGGGTAGGTGATAGCTACACAGTTGCTCTTCTTCTCGCCGTTCTTATGACTACCCCCATGCACATGAAACCTAAAACCCTAAACCCATGAACCTTCCCATGGCAACAGCCACGCAGGAGCTGGCGACGAAGTCATCACCCTTAACCCTGAGTCCACTCCAAAATCCCGAAACCCGAAAGGCACCCAATGCCCCTCCTCGCCCAAAACGCTGCTTCAATATCCACAGAAATCCCAAAAACAAACGAGCAACTTAGCACTTTCTGATACTTTCTGAAACCCCTGCAAGTCCACACTTTGCAAACACTTTCATGGGCGGTGAAACATTTCAGCCCTATATTTTAAGGTTAAACTTCAAGTCTAGGGTTTATATAGGTCTTGGGGTTTTGAGGGCTCAGGGGGGGGCTTAGGAACACGTAGGCCTCAACGCTGATATGTCACACGTCGAGCTTGTGATCGTAAGAAGAAAGAACCCTAAAAGAACTTTTTGGGAAATTTGGAATGGATTGTTCTTTGCAAATCTTGGGCTCGCTTTTGGAACCGGCTATGCCCGGCTATGTATATGTTGTGCAACACGCACTCAGTCTCTGTCTGATTTTGCCGATTCTGATTAGAACTACCCAGATTGACGACATTGATGATGCAGTTGGGGCTGTGGCCTCGATAGCAGAGAGCGGAACAATTCGGGCATGGATGCTCTGCTCAATGGACACACTTGCATCATGGACGCGAGACAAGCCCTTGCTTGGCAGGGTCCTGAACACGGATCAGGGCAGCAGCGCATGGATGCTTTGGGTGTGTGCGGACGTGCATGACCGGGGGGGGGAAGGCGGAGCGGTGTGTCCAAGTATCGGTGTATCGGTGTATCCAGGCATTGGCGCGAAGAAGGGCCCATAAAACTAGCTCTCGACCCCTACACGCAGAAACAAGAACCAGGAGGCAAGCCCAAGCCCCAAACTCTCCACCCCCAAACCTTGAACCAACCCCTTCCCCCACCACCCCCCGGGGCGGACCCGCAGGACTTGAGGTACTCTTTCAGCGCCTGGCAGAGCTGCGACTTAGAGTTTCGGGCTTGGGCTTTGGCGTAGGAAGGTATTCATGCTGTGGGGCTTGGGGTTCAGGTTGTAGCGTTTGAGGTGGTTAGGGCTTGGAAGCTGTTTGGGGTTCAGGGTCTTAGGGTCTTAAGGTCTGGGGGCTCGTGGGTTCAGAGGTTTCCCGAAATTCGGGTCTCCTTTTGAAGTCGAAGCCCTAACGTCCGGAAAACCCTACAAGGAAGCTGCTTAGGGTTCAGGGTTTAGGGCTGCTCACCTGATGTCGTCCCAGACTGAAGACTCCCCACGAAGCGGACAGTCAGTGAGCTCCAAATCGCTAGAAAGAAAGCACCCTGGAAAGAACTGGGTGATGAATCCAAGGGTCTAGAACTGTGGGCAAAAGACCTAAATTTTATATTCAAAATGGAATGCGTGCGTCCTTGCGTCCTTACCATTGCATTTAATATTAAAATTAAGGGCTTTTGGGAAGGTTAACCAGCTATAATACTAAGGGCTCAAAGGTCTAGTTTCTTGGCTCATGATTCCAAGGTGTTACACGGTTATAGCTGGAGAACCTGAGGTTGGACGCTCACTCGTTTTCTCATTAAATTCATGCGCTTCACTTATAATTTAATTTCGTTTTCTCGTTTACGCGGTTCGCAAGCTCACTGTAATAATAAACGAACGAATTGAGTGAGTGAATACAGTGAGCAAAGTGAACACGACGTTCATAATATTCATACGCCCTTCATGCGTGAACTTATAAGGGCGCATTAATATTATTCTCTTCGTACACTTAAAGGATAACATGTAGAGAGAAGTGAATAAGGAGTGAGTGTAGTGAGTGACGCACGCATGCATGAACTGAACGAAGTACGAAGAGAAAACAATGGTGCGTACGGCGGGCTCATTATAACTTCCTTTTTGCCCGCCCTTTCAAAAAGCCTGAATTTTAATAATAAAATCATGCGTCCTTCGTCCTTATATTTTATATTAAAATTATACAGCCTTTTAGTATTATTAACCGGGCAAATTTAAGAAGAGCCCGGGAGAAAAAATAGAAAGAAGAGAGTGAGAGAAGCGAGTGAACGACACAGATAAAGATTATAATTCGTGCGGGCTTATTACAATATTATTAGTGTGCCCGCAGTGTTCATTGACTTCGTTCGCCAGTTCATGCATTAAATCACGCGCTTACTTCGTGCACTTGTATTATAATGCAGTGAACTTACTCTCGTGAACTTACTCTCTTCGTAGTGTTATTAATGCCGTACGAATAAACGAAATGATAATGTGCACGGCGTGTTCGTTTCGTTCACTCGTTTCACGCGTCTTCTTATTCCTTGTAAACTCGTGATTAAATATTATGTGCGCTTGTAATTCTTTTTCTCGCGCGATAATATAATAATAGAGTAAAAAACCTGTGCTGTCAAGGAACCAACCACTGAGGCGTTCATGAAGAGCTCCTAGAGACAGAGGTTAAGGTGTCATGAGATTGATGGTGGCGGCTAATACTAAACCTGTGAAGGAACTACACCAAAAGGAAGATCCAGTCCCGGAGACCGTACCATTCATCTCTCTCACTCTTGTTCCAATCACCCAGTATTTCCTAGAGATAAAACTACGAAGAGAAGTCTATTTCACTGGCATTATAAGGAACAAAGTGACGCATGAATGCCAGTGAAATAGACTGAACGTAGTGTAACCGCTAATTCTAGTACTAATGAGTCTATCCACGGGTGAACGTACTAAAAGCCCCTTAAATTTACTAAATTACAAGTTTACGCGTGAATTTAGTTTATTTAATTTGGGCTTTTACATGGGCGAATTATACCAAAGGCCGTCATAATAAACTATGGTTTTTATGCGGGCTTTTAGTATATTATATTCGCCCCTACGTTCACACCCTTGGAATCGCATGCCAGGTTAACCGTGTAAAAGCCCTATTAATATAATACTAAAGGCGTGAACAAAGGCAAGTTTACGCGCGCTTTGCTCACGAATTTACTATTATATTGGGCTTTTATTGGGGCGGTCTCAATGAGTGGTGTGTCCGTACGCATGAAACGCAACCATTAATAATATTATAGCGTGCGGCCCTTACCTATATGTTGGGATAAGGGAAGCCTCTGAGAAGGCTGAAGTGGAGAAGGGCACCATGCCTTTGTGTGCAGGATGTTCTGCATATGTAAGCATTGCTTCAGCACAGGTGTGCAGGACGTTCAGCATATGTAAGCATTGCTTCGGCACAGGCGAGAGCAGAGCTCCGCATATGTAAGCATTGCGACTGGATTTGGCTCAAGCATGAAAAAGTGCGTGTCTGGATTGGGGTGTGAGGGCTTTGCGGGGTGTTTCCCGGGTGGTTCCTCTAGCTTAGGCTGGTCTGGCCTCTTCCGGACCCCCCCTAGCCCGGTGGTCCCCGTCCAGGGTTTTTTCCGTCTTGAGGGTTTGGGTGAAGCTGGGGCTTTCTGGGTGTAGTCCTGGTTTCCCTTAGATCCCTCTTTTCGATGGCCGCTCCTGCGCCCTCCGCCCCTGGTCCTCACGAGGACCAAGGGGTTATGAGCCCAACTGGTGCTCGGCGTGCCATTGATTCGAGATTGGAAGGTGAGACTGCTGGTCCTCGCTACGATCGTCATCCTGCTGGAAATGCGATGCCCAATGGGGTACTTTCGGCTGATGTTGTAAGGCGTGAGGATATGGTGCAGGCCTCACCTGGTGCAGCGAGTTTGGAAAGCGCTCCATGGCCACCAGCTATGACTTCAAGGACAGAAGATGTGGGACCGCCTGGTACATTTTCCTGTGATTCCGGGCTTCGCCAAGAAACGTCTTCCGTGTCTGCTGGGAATGTGGGGCCAACGATTCCGCACTTGGTCGCGCGGGCGAGTACGGATAATCACCCGGGAGGCTCCCAGGGTGGGACTGCCTTGCCAGTCCCGTCCTGGATGAGTCGTCTCGGGGATTATCTTCGCCAAGCTTCCGGACAGGTTGAGACGCTGACAACGACGCTCACGAGGCAACGAGTGTTGGGTAGTAGTGGTGGTTTAGTGGTTCAACAACATGAGCAGTTGCAGCAGCAGCATACCACTTCGCACCCCTCCACACCGCAGCATGCAACATACCCGGCAGCAGCGGCAACTATGTCTGGTGGTTTTTCTCCGACAGGACAACAAAGTGGGGATCCTCCTCTGTTTCCCAGCAGTGCTCGTCGTATTATGGAAGGCTGGGCAAGACAGGCTCCTTTGCTGCATGGTCCGAGGAGTGTGGGAACAGACGATGCTTCATCGGCGTCCATTCCGGTGGAGTTGGTGCAGGAGGAGGTGAGAAGACAAGTGGAAGCGGCCTTGGCAGGCCAGAAGGGAAGGCTTGAGCGCCTTCAAGAAGAAAATGAGCGATTGCGGGAGATGGCTTTTGGGGGTGGTGGCGATGTGAAAGGACAAGGCCGGGGTGGGGCTCTATGGAATGAGGCGCAGCGGCAGATGAGGGAGCAGTCTGAGCTTCCTGAGGATCGTGGTGTACCTCATGGAGATCGGGCCTACTCAGCATCGCAAGTGCTTCATGAGGATCGTGGAGTACCTCATGGAGATCGGGCCTCTTTCGCAACTCCAGGGCTTCATGAGGATCGTGGCGTACCTCATGGAGATCGGGCCTCTTTCGCAACTCCAGGGCTTCATGAGGATCGTGGCGTACCTCATGGAGATCGGGCCTCTTTCGCAACTCAAGTTCTTCGTGAGGATCGTGGTGTACCTCATGGAGATCGGGCCTCTTTCGCAACACATGCACTTCGTGAGGATCGTGGTGTACCTCGTGGAGATCGGGCCTACCCAGCATCTCATGCACTTCGTGAGGATCGTGGTGTACCTCATGGAGATCGGGCCTCTTTCGCACAAGCACTTCCTGAGGATCGTGGTGTACCTCATGGAGATCGGGCCTCTTTCGCTCATGCACTTCGTGAGGATCGTGGCGTACCTCATGGAGATCGGGCCTCTTTCGCAACACATGCACTTCGTGAGGATCGTGGTGTACCTCATGGAGATCGGGCCTACCCAGCATCTCATGCACTTCGTGAGGATCGTGGTGTACCTCATGGAGATCGGGCCTCTTTCGCACAAGCACTTCCTGAGGATCGTGGTGTACCTCATGGAGATCGGGCCTCTTTCGCTCATGCACTTCCTGAGGATCGTGGTGTACCTCATGGAGATCGGGCCTACCCAGCATCTCATGCACTTCCTGAGGATCGTGGTGTACCTCATGGTGATCGGGTCTTTGCAGCAACAAATGTGACTTCTGGGGTTCGGGGAGCTCTTCGGGAAGGTCGTCAACCAGTTCCGTCGATGTGTCGGGCCAATGATGGTCCTCGTGCACAGAGGGGCGAAGCTGGTGCCAGGTCAAGAAGTGCAGAAGGACATGGCGAGCTTGGGAACAGGCCAAGGAATGTGTATGCTCGTGGTTATGGTGCCAAGCGATCTGCCTCAGCGAGTCCGTCGCCAAGTGGTGGTAGAGGAGTTGTGGGTGAGAGGTTGTCTGGAGGGGATGTCTGTGGTGTCCCGCCGTTTGACCGAGCCTTCAGGGCTCGCTTGGAGCCTGAGCTAGGGATAAGGGGAGACTATGAGCCGCTGAAGAGACCTGAGGGAATTGCAACCCTTGGTGCGCCTTGTGAAACTCCTCCTGGTCTCAGTCCTCCCGTTGCTCCAGGAAGCGAGCAACAACCAGGCGATGTGGCGCCTGCAGCTCCGTCAAGCCCTTCTCCGATGGACATTGTGCTTACAGGTATCGGGCAGCTGCAGCAGATGTTGCTGAAGAAGGGAGACGGGCTGGATGTGGATAAGGCGTCGCCGAATTTTCCGATGTTGCCTGACTACACTCCGGAATCTGGTGCCATAGACTTCCAGGACTGGCTGTACCTTGTGGAGCAACAAGTGTCTGCTACGGCGGCAAGCGCTGGCGAGTGGTGGAAACAAGTCATGGGTTCGGCCTTGGAAGCATACCAGGAGTATCAGGCGCTTTCGCCGATCAAGCGGCTTGGGGTGAAAGCAAGGCTATCAGAGGAGCTTCAGGACGGCAAGTACCAGAAGCTTGCGAAAAAGGTGGCAGCCTTACTTCTAGCAGCACTTCCGACAGGTGTCCGAGATGAGCTAGTGGCCTATCGTGTGCAGGGGACTCATCAGATACTGTTTCGGCTAATGGCTGTGTACCAGCCTGGGGGCGCTCAGGACCGGGCACAACTTCTGAAACAGTTAGAGGTGAGCGAATCTCCAGGAACAGCTGCGGATGCAGTGGTTGCTTTACGGAGGTGGTATCGCCTGTACCAGCGAGCTTTGGATCTTGGTGTTTCCTTGCCAGATGAGTCCGTCCAGGTGAAGTCTTTGGGGGTCTTAACGAAGAAGGTGGCGGAGACAAATCAAGATTTTCGCTTTAAGGTGTCCTTGGCGAAGGCGGAGCTTCAGATTGACACCAGACCCACCTCGGAGAATGTGTTGAAGTACTTCCAACACCTCCTTGCAGAATGTGAGCAGCTTGGGGCTACTGGGAGAAAGGCTACACCGTCACAGGCATCGGAGGCTCCCGGACCCAAACTGAAGGGCATGCAGCAACAGCCCTCAGATGCCGGAAATACCACTCAGAGGCCAAAGGCCAAGGCCTCTCCACCGCCTACGAATCCGACAAAGCCGTGTTCATGGTTCACTACTGATGATGGTTGCAGAAATGGAAAGAACTGCAGTTTCAGGCATTCGTGGGAGGGTCTTCAGCGAGCCGAACGGTGCCTCCTTTGTGGTTCGACGAAGCACAGGGCAAGGGATTGTCCTACGAAGAAGGTGAATCCTACTGACAAACCGGCTCCAAAGCCGAGGTTGGCCAAACAGCAGGCTGCAGCAGCTACTCCTACAACAGGGGCAGCTTCCTCGGAGGGTCCTTCGCTTTCGTCAGGTCCGTCGGTGCCGGCTGGAGATGCTATTCGTGAGCAGCCTTCAAGCCTTACTCCTTCAACCTCAAACAAGATCGACACGGAGCAGGTGGCGGCGATGTTGTCCGAAACAAACAAGATGCTGAAGGCTTTGACTTCCACTCAGGCTCAGGGCTCTGGCACAGGTTCGGCTTCTTCGGCGACCTCGGATCCTTTGGGGGTTATACAGAGACAGTTGGAGGATTTGCGGCGACTGCGAATGCTGGTGGTGCTTCCGGAGAGGGTTGGCAATGAAGACTTCCGCGTGAAAATGGATGTATATGAACGGTTGCTGCAGACTGAGCCAGTGGCGGTTGAGAAGGATTCCGAGGAAAAGATGGCCCTGTTGGATTCGGGAGCGAGTCATGCCTTTCGGGTTGCTGTTGACGATCGTGAGGTGGAACAGGGAAGGTTGGTGAAGGTTGCCTTGGCCAATGATGATCACGTTGTCCTTTCGCAGAACGCTGGTGGAACCCTGTTGTCTTCGCCTTCTACGAACCCTTCGGGCGGTGGAACGATACTACCTATGGGACAGTTGGTGCAGTTGCTTGGATGCACGGTACGATGGTCTCCGACAAGGCTTGAAGTTCGACACCCGATCCATGGCAAGTTGCGAGTGAAAGTCAACCATTTCTGCCCAGAGATGACCGAGGTGAGCGCGCTACAGCTCATCAAGGAATTGGAGGAGAAACGGGTTGGCGAGTTCACGAAGACCTTGGAGGATATGGAGAGGCAGCTCAAGGAGATTGAGCTATCGGGCTGTGGAGATCGCGGTTGGGAACAGCACCTCATGGATCTGGTGGAAACTGGGGCTCGAACGAGTTTCTGTGGCTTCATCCAGAAGGTGCCCTATTTGCAGGGGGTGACCCCGGAGGCTTTCGCGACCATCCCTGAGGAGTTCCCGGTGACGAACAAAGAGGGCTGGAGGCTCTTGAAGGGCATGCCGTGGAGTAGAAGGAAACGAAGGAGTATGTTCCTTAGCAACAACTGGCTGGTGCATCTCTTCTCGGGAGACAAAAGGAAGAAGGGACTGGCTTCTTCAAGCGAATGGAAGGCCAGTCTGCATCGTGATGATGTTCTGGTGGAGGTGGACCTGAACCTTAGCAGTCACTTCGACATGTTAAAGAAGGATGGCATCTTCAAGCTGCTTTTGTGGGGAGCTGCTCGGGGCAAAATTAAGGCTCTATTTGGGGGACCGCCTCGAAGAACCTTTCCCTTTACAGGAAATGAGACGATGCTGTCCTCGCAACATGTTCGGGAAGTTCAGCTGGTTGCCAGGGCGATGATCCTTTGGTCAGTAGCTTCTGAGGGTAGGAGGATCCTTTGGAGAGAGGGATCTTTAGAAACCCCGGGTCCTGGAGTTGGTTGGTTGCTGGAACATCCGAGAGTTGAATCGGGGAAGGTTCCTGGACTAGAGCAAGGCGACAACAAAGAGAGTGACCTTGAGGAGCAAGAGAGGCTGGCTAAGGAATGGTTCGACCTGGGCAAGTTTTCGCATCGTGAGTGCCGTATGTTGTTGGAAGAGATGAACTTCAAGAAGAACTTGCGAGCCTCATCCCGAGGCGAACAAGAAGGATCTGTGGTGCTTGGGGCATATGCTCATGGCGGCAATCGGGGGGTTACTACAGAGGCACTCCAGAGACCGTGGTTGACGAAGTACCTGAACATGTTTATGCGGTGGAATGTGGAAACGCAGCTGCATGAGGATTGCTCTTGGTCGGCTTTGTTGGTCATGGAGACGAATGAAGTGCCTCGACATCGAGATGTTCGGAATGCTCGTGATAGTAACAACTACTTGATTGGGTTGGGCGATGATGATCCTGGCGGCGAGGTTTCCTCCGGTCTGTGGCTTGAAGGGGACCTGGATGGACAGAAATTTGGTGGTGGAGGGAGATGTGTCGAAAGGTCCTGTCCACTCTCTGGCTTTGAACAATCAAAGGGCTGTTTGGTTGAGATCTCTGGAAGGATGACGAGGTTCAATCCAAAACAACACCATGCGTATGTGGGGAAGGATCGAACTCAGAAGGAGCTTCTCGTGGCGGCCTACACACCTCTCGGCCTCGACAAGTTGCCGGATGAAAAGGTCGGGAAACTTCGATGCTTGGGTTTTCCGATACGCTCAACCTTGGAATGGGATGAGGGCCCAGCGCTACATGGAAGGGACCAAGTTCGTGAGGCTCAGGAGGAGCTGGAGAGTGAGGATGAGGAGGAGGCCAATGGACGGGTGCCATGCTACGACCTGTTTGGAACGACCATGTGGAAAACCTTCGCGAGGATGTACACCATGGATGAGGTCAAGTGTGATTTGGAAAACTTGGGACCTACGACTTTGGGTACGAACCTCAATCTCTGGTCTTTGGAGGGTGAGGATGGTCATGGTCTGAAGGCCGGTACAAGAACAAGTCGATGGCCAACGGGGATGATAAGTTCTGTCTGTGATGCTCTATGTGCTTGGCCCGGTTTTGCTACGCGAGAACATGCTTTGACCAGTATGGTTCGAAGGCTGGGAAGGCGAGATGGTGAAGAAGGTGAAGGGAAGCTCGCTAAATTCAGCTTGGAGGAATGGCGCATTCACCTGAGACGGGACCATTTGCCATACAGGAAGGATTGCCGGGAGTGCATCCAAAGGGCGACGGGCAAGCCACATAGGAGAGTCGCTCATCCTTCAGCGTATGTCCTGAGCATTGACACTGCTGGTCCGTTTAGGGCGACGGGCACTGATGGAGCGCGCTACCTGCTAGTCGGGTGTTTCCGCTTTCCTAAGATCCCAGAAACAGGGGACCCTGAGCAGTCTGGTGTGCAGCCTGGGGACGTGGACAAACCGGATGACGAGGGTGATTGGTTGCCTGGGCTGGAGGCCGAGGATGTCGTATCAGAGGTTCCTGCTACTGAAGGTGCGCCTGTAGGGGTCTCGGAGGAGCTTGGCCCTGATCCTGCTGCTATTCGTGAGGAAGATGATCCGAAACAGGAGGAGATCAAGGCCCTGGAGCGTATGTCTGAGCCCTTCGAGTTCGAGTCTGCCTATCTTTGTCGACCCTTGAAGACCAGGAAGAAGGCGGAAACACTCAAGGCCTTGCAGGAGATGTACCTGTCTCTAAGTCAACGGGGCCTGCCAGTCTTACGAGTACATTGCGACCGAGCAAGGGAGTTCATGAACGAGGGTATGGACATGTGGGCAGCGGCGAGGGACATCATAGTCACGAAGACTCAAGGCGATGATCCGTCACAAAATGGGGCGGCGGAGCGGGCTGTTGGTTTCATCAAGGGCCGGGTGCGAACTTTGCTTGGACAGGCCAAGGCCTACAGCAAGCTTGGAGATGCCGTGGTGAGATCGTGGTGG